GAGACGATGCAGCAGAATGTAATCCCACTGCTGACCCTCACGTCTCACGTTAATGTGTTCATATGTGTTCATATGGTCATGTGATCACGGTCATGTGATCACGGTCATGTGATCACCAGCCGGCTAACGACACAGTTCAGTAAACGAGCTTCTCTCTGCTTCATGTAAAAGTTTAATTTAGTTTAAATCGAGACATTTTTTTTTCTTTTATAAAATATTTTCCTTCGTCTCCTTTTCATTCGTCGTCTTCTCTCCTCGTTTCCTTCACTTACTTCCTCTCTTCTCCAACATTCAGTCACTTTGTCTCCTTCATCGTCTCCTTGTTTTCCGTCTGCATGCTCCATCCTCACCTCCTCTCTCCTTGTTTCCTTTCCTTACTGCTTGTTTCCTCTCCACTTCTGCCCTAGTTTCTGTCTTTACCTCCTTTAACATTAAGTTGCTTCTTGCCACCTCATCTCCTATTTCCTTGTTTCCTTTCCTTATGTCTTCCTCTTGTGTCGTCTCTTTTAATCCTCCCGCTTCACCTACACCTTCCTCTCCTTGTTTCCTTTCCTTATCGCCTCTTTCCTTGATTATTCTCCTTGTTTCCTCTCCTCTTATGTCTTTACTTCATCTCTTTGTTTTCCCTCTTATCTCCTTATTTCCAAACCCGCTTTCCTCTCCTCTCCTTGTTTCCTTTCCTTTAAGCCTCTTTCCTCTCGACTTCTCTCCTTGTTTCTTCCCTCATCTCCTTATTTCTCTCCTTGTTTTCTCTGTATCTTCCTTCCTTCCTCCTTTCATGTCTCCTTGTTTCCTTTCCTTGCTGCTGTCTTTCCTCTACAGACGTTCTTTCTCCTCCTTGCCTCCTCTGTCCTTGTTTGTCTCAGTGTTGCCTCACTTTATTTCCTCTTTGGCAGGTCCTTGGTTCCTTTCCTCATTTCTCAACTTGTTCCCTTGTTTCCTTTCCTAATTGTTTTATTCCTTCCTCGCCTCAGTTTGTCTTCACCGACTCTCTTCATTCCTTTTTTTCATCTTTCTTCTTCTTTCTTTGGTTCTTCTCTCCTCTTTTTTCCCTCCTCACCTCCTCTTTCCTTGCTGCTTCCTTCATTTCTTCCCTCCTCTTTCCTTGTTTCCTTTCCTTGCTGTTTCCTTGCCTCCTCTTTCCTTGTTTCCTTATTCATCTCCTCTCTTTTTGCTTGCTCTCCTTGTTGTTTCCTTTCCTTGCTGTTTCCTTCATCTCTTCCCTCCTCTTTCCTTGTTTCCTCTCCTTATTCATCTCCTCTCTAGTTTTTGCAGCTTTATTTTTTTAGCTAACGTATTTATTAATCTGTAGTGAGTGGAGCTGAACGCTGAAGGAAACCGAGCGGCCGTGGAGCCGCTGAAAGCAGCTGAAGTGGAATCTGAAACTTATTTAGACTCGAATTAATTTGAGTGACACTCGAAAATAAATTAGTCAGAGAAGTCGGAGAGGCAATCGAAGCTGGAGGACTGGAACAAGCTGGAGTGGGAACACTGAGAGAAATAAAAGTGAAGTTTAAATTCAGATGATGGCGGTTTAATAAAAGTATTGATCAGAGAGAGACGAGTCTGTGGAGCATCATCAGTGAGTTTAATGATCAGAAACCAGCTGATCAAACAGTTTTATCTTCATCAGTTTTATTCTTTATCGTCATTGTGAAATATTTTTTGTGTTTTATTGATTCGTCACACAACTGAGGCCTCGATTGATTATTAATGATCTGAAAGAAAAAGAACAGAAATAGTTTTATTTTATTTATTTTAACCTCCCTGGGGAAATTAAAATATATGTATTTAAAAATATATATTTATATATATTTAAAAATATATATAAATATATATTAAAATTTAAAACTAGTAAATATATATTACAATAATAGTTCTTCTAAAATGTTTGACTGTAAAATTACAGTTTTGTTGTGTAAAAATCTGATAAAAAGATTATTTACACATATTCACTGTTATTTTAAAGAAAAGTTTTTTTTTTCATTTTATTATTATTTTTTAACAGATATTCTCTGTTTTGTTAAATTTAAGATGATATCCAGTAAAATCAGAGAAATACAGGAATTTATTTATATGCTGACGGCAAATTTTACATTTTAAAAAAATAGTTCTTTTACAATGTTGGACTGTAAAATTAAATGATTATTGTGTTAAAATCTGGGAGAAAAAAAATCCAGTTATTTTACATAATCGGCTGTAAATGTGGTTGTTTGACAGTTTTTCAACATCAAAGTATTTCACAGCTTTTAAACATTTTTTTTCTGCCTGATTTTCAGTTTTTCATGTGATTTTTGACAAATTATTTGAATATAATTTATTATTTTTATTTATCCCACGCAGTCAGACACCGTGAGGCTGGAAGTCTTTAATGTCTTTGTGCTATTTCACTTTTTGTCTACGAACGATGGAACATTTGGGGAACATTTGGGGAACCTTTTGGGAACACTTCAGCGTGCTAACCCCACCTGAGCAGACCGGCTGGTCTCGGCTCTGCTGCAGGTCTTTGCTTAATTACAGCGTTAGCTCAGAGAACAGAGGTTCTATAGAGACCTGGCAGGTGCAGCTCGCTCTGGATGTTCTCACAGCACGACCACTGTCCTCGTCTCCGTCAGTCACACGCCATCATTACCCTCGTCAGCGCCGTCGACAGGCTTCCACGTCGCTGCGCTCGTCTGCTGAGGATAAGAGCAGCTTTCATGGAGCGTCTGGACGGACTGTTGGTCCGAATAAAACGGCTTCAGCCCAGAAACGAGCAAATGTTTGAACCTTTTGTCATGAATTAGGGGTCAGAAGACCTGGTTGAGGTGGACAGTTCAGGTGAAAAGGTTTGGACACGGCTTTGAATTCAGGTGGTTTTCATGTCTGAGCTCTTATTTGTTGCACGGGGACGTCTGACGGAGCCTTAACTTAGCGAACACCGGGATCGGTGGAGTTCTCGTGGCTGATACTTATTATTTTTATTCACCAGTTATTGATGAATGCGCTGCTTCAGGTCCGGTGCAGCCTCAGCGCTCCGTCCGTCGTCACAATGTCCCTCCAGCAGCAGAAACACAAACCAGGAAGTTAGCGCATCTCACGGTGGCTAACGGCTACGCGAACGGCTAAGCTAGCAGACAGCCTCAGATTAACCTGAAACAGAGTCTGGAAAACAAGATTAACGTTAAGATATGGAGCGTAGTGGGTAATAGAGGTGATAAAATATGAATATACGTAGAAAAGAAAAGAAAAGAAAAGAAAAGAAAAGAACTGGTCGTTTAGCTGCAGCCTCCAAATGGAAAGCGAACAAAAAAACGACCTTTTTCCTTCTTCCACTTCTTCTCTTGTGGATTTATTGGCGGTTGGCAAAAAGCAAACCGGTTCGTCATCGCCACCGTTTGGTAAAAGTATGGATCGTCTCATATTTACAGAATCGCAGACTTTTTCTTTTTACTTTAAGCCGCCGTCACAAAGTTCGTACTTAATCGTCTTCAGTCGTCAGTCAGGACTTCGAACTTCCACCACATGTAGCAGGATATCTGAGTTTATTTTTGGTTTATTACGTCTGAGACGTACGTTTTCTGGTATCTTGTATAGTACAGCAGCATGGATGTTAAAATGGAGACACTGCTTTTACTAAAAGGGTGAAAATGATGTATTGTTGTATTTTTATTAACAGTAATTTTATTTTATTTTTAACAGTGTGTTCCTGCCAAACTAGTAGGCCTGGTCCGAAAAGCAATTTATGGTCTCCAGATATTCGATGCATTTACTGATGATGTCCGACATTCGAATATTAAACTTGCTATCGGGATCACAGCACAACGACTGGATATTCGGTTATTCCAGCCCTGGAAATGAGACGGTTTTGCTGCATTTAAATCCACTAAAATCTCATTATTTTGGTGATATTTCCTATTTTTTATAAGAAACCTTTTGCACATGAAGGACTGAAAAGTAGTCAGTAATTTACTTGTTATTTACCAGATTTTTCCTGTTTTGTTAAATTAAACAGAAAACCTAAAAATCTAACATCAAAAATCACAGAAAAAAAAAAAAGATTTACATCAAATATCTGCATTATTTCAAATCCAAACAGTATTTACTCTATAAATCCACTAAAACGCTGTATTTTATGGGTATTTGTTGTTATTTTTTGCAGGTTTTTTACAGTTTTTAGGCGTCACATCGCCTCCACGCTGCACACTTTTGCTTCTACGTTGTGTTTTTTATGATCTTTAACACCATAAACTCTTAGCTTGGTGGTTTTATTTCCTATTTAATGCGGCGCACACAGGAACCGGCGCTGCGCTGAGACGACACTCGGCGCTGGGCCCGGCCCGGCCCGGCCCGGCCCGGCAGCGCGCTGGCGACGGCTAACCGTATTAATAGGAGTCTGCTTTGTGTCAGGCAGCTGCTAATAGGATCAGTGTGAGAGACACGGGGCTGTCTGTCAGTCTAAGTTCATTAGCCGATGATAGATAACCTGGCGGCTGTGGAGGTGTGCAGCTCCTCCAGCCGCCTCCTGCTTGTGTGTAAATTCTCCCCCTGCTGTAATTTATAGCCTCAATCGGAGGCCTTATCAGGTGCAGGACACATGGACGCCTCCTTCTTCTCCTCCTCCTCCTGCACGGCTTTCAACTCCCTCCTCTGCTCTTCATCCAATCTTCTCCCTCCTTTCCTTTTCAATAAGGCTTCTTTAATTGCTGAACTCTGCGGCTGAGCTTCTGGACCAAACTTCTCCACTTTTTAATTCACTTTTTTCGCCGCTTTTCCTTCAAAAAGACGTTTAATCGTAGAAGACGCTGGAAATTTGAGCAAAAATCAAAACTAAGTCGTTGTTTTTTTATTTCTGATCATCGTATTTGTTCCTTAAATCCTCATAAATGTAGTTTTGTTCCCTGAATGTTCCTCGTTTAATGTGTTCTCTGAGTCTAAATCAAGATGAAAGAATGATTCCAGCTAATTACCCCGTGTTTGTTCCCAAAATCCAACGAAAATCTCTTTTTTTTTCTGAGTTCCTACATTTAACTGTAGAACAATAAAAAAAACAACAAGCTGGGGTTTTATTGGATTTAAATGCAGGAATGTTTCAGTCACATGTTGTAAAAGAACCAGCTGGTATTTGTTAAAACATTTTTTTTTTGAATTATAATTTTTATTAAACTTTAAATAAGGTCAACATCTCTACAAAATGTAACCGCAATTAATCATAAATTAAACCATTTTATTGTTTTTAAATCAACAAATATATACTTATTTAATGGATTTTTGACATAATTTGAATGAAAACTTCTGAATATTAGGAAACAAGAAGTGGTGAAGAATTTTACTGATATTTTAAAGATTTTTCTAGTTTTGTCAAATTATAAATATTTAGTGAAATCCCGTAAAATGAAATTAATTCACATCTTAATTGTTTATAAGTGTTATGGCCCTTTTTATTTTATTTTATTTTTTACAGTCAACATGTAAATAATCTTTTTTTTTTAAACTGTAATTTAATAGAATTGCAGGAAAGAAGTATTAATTTAACCTTTTTTTGTAATTTGAACTTTTTTTTTTAATGTGACTTTTTTTTGTTTTATAGTTAAAATGTAAATAATTGTATTTTTATGTAATTTAATAAAATCACAAGATTAAAAAAAATATTAATTGGCATGTTACAGTTTATTTGTGTTTTGGCCTTTTTTATATATAAAAAAATGGCCTTTAAAATAAAAATAAAGATTACATGTTGACTGTACAGTGTGTAAATAATTTTAATTTTTCTGTAATTTAATAGAATCACAGAAAAAAA